CTGAGGCAGGCAGGTCGGAGCCCCACAGTGCGGGGACATCCCTCCCTGCTTCTCCACACCCGCTGCCCCACCGTGCCCTGGCCTGGATCCACGCCCTGCCCTCACAGACAGCTTCTCCCTCAGGTGGGGGCAGCCCCTGCCCCCACATGACTGCTGAGAAATGACACGAGGGCCTTGACTCATCTCCCCCCTGGGGCCTCTCCTGGGATGGCTGAGGTAGGGGTGATCCGGCCTCGGGCAAGGGGCTGGACTGGCTCAACGGGCCTCGACCAGTGTCGCAAGAACATATGCAAGGGTCGCCAACGCACTCTAAAAACGGATCCTCCTTCAAAGGAGAAAAGCCATGGGAAGCTGCGGCTTTTCCCCTGCGGGCTGGCAGAGTTTCAGCCCCACACACTGGGTTGGGAGCGAGGGGCACGGGGTCGGGACTGTTTACAAATGGGTCCTGGTACAACAAAAGTTGAGAGCCACTGGAGGAGACGACCTCGGGAAGTCCCTGTCAGCCCTGCTCCTCTCTATGACTTGTCTGCCGAGCCTGATTGACACCCAAGCTGGTCTGAGCTGAAGTGGGCGAGGTGGGGAGGGCTAGGGGGGAGGTGAGATTGTCTGCTGGGGTGGGGGGATAGGGACACCTGCCATATTTTGGAACTGTTTGCTCTTTGCAGTTTCTTCTGCACGTGGCCATGCTCCTGCAGCAGCTGGGCAGAGGCTGAGGAGACAGCTACAATGGGGCCAGGATAGGCTGGGCATTCGCCTCCTCTTCCTGCTGTGCCCCTTTCCGGGCACGGGTCTTCGTGGCTTCTTCCCTCTTCTGCCACCCTCCAGGTTGCTGGCCTGTAAAAGGCAGGTGTTGAACACACCGTGCAAACAACATGCCTGTCCCGGCCTCATCCCTGAGTGCTGGGAACACCTGTTAGGAGGGGGAGGAGATGGCATAGCCTGCACCCGCGGAAGGAGGGCTGCCGGTTCTGAGTTTCTAGCAGGGAAAGGTCTGCAGCACCAGGGTGGGTGGTGACAAAGCGTAGGAAGTGCCTGCCTTCAATGTGCATGCCTTCAACTGCACCAGTGAGGTGGGGGCAAAAAGGGTAAAGGGCAAAGCAGCAGGGACCAAGGGAGTGGAGAAGGCTTAGGGAGGGGAAGGTATGCAGGGAGGGACTGGGATTGAAACACTTCCTTTCTTATTTGACCTTCAAGAATGCAGGCACCATTTTCTTTCTCCTTCGCCTCAGGGCTGCAGGAGAGCACATGGTCAAACAAAGTACAAGCAGATCACAGCTCCTGATTCTCATTAGATTTTTTTCCCCCTGAGCCATATCTCAGCTCCCTCTGCTCTTGCAAGCTGTGGCTGGATCAGTACTGTGCCAAGAACCACCACAATGGGACAGGCAAGCAGCAAGTCCATCAAACCTAAGTCCCCCATCCCCCCCAGAAACCCCATGCCTTCATGCTCAGCAAATTAGCTCACCCCTTACCTACTATATCTTAGTACACCCCTACCACCTACGTCTGCCTGTATTCCCTCAGTATCTGGCCCAGGGCTCAGTATTCCCAGGCTTCCTACCCAAACACTCTCTGCTTTCATTTCACCCACCCTGAGTACTCCCTTTTTCAGTACAGAGCACTCACAACAATACTTCCTACATTTCAAAATGCTTTTCACACAAGGGCAATATTAACATTCCCATTTTACAGGGAGGTAGACTGAAGCACAAGGAAGTGAAATGAATTGCTCAAGGTCCCCCAGTAGATTAGTGTCAGAGCAAAGAAACCAGGATTGCATAGTTTCAAACCAGCACCTAGTGTCCTTTGGATTATATTGTGCTACCTCCCTTAACTGGTCTAATCAGCATCACCCTGTACTAAGGCCATGAAAGGGGGAAAAAAGTATATGCAAATATTCAAGGGTCATTAAAAATCTGTGTACTCTATTATTATCCCATAAATACTAGCAAGCCGTAATCATATGGTGTCACTACAGGAAGAGTTATAGTTCTCTGTCCGTATTGTATGCCTCCTTCTATACGCTATCATGTTCAGATTTCCCTTAAATAATCTGAAGTCCAAGTTTTCTGATTTGGGGATCATTCCAACACCCTGTACATGCTTTACCTTTAACTTACTGATACCTTCTCTGAGTTTTACCTCTATTTTAAAGATATTTTTTGGCTGGGAAGAAAAATGGATGCATCTGTAACCGTCCTAACTGAGCATCTTTCTTGTGAGTATGTGCAGTTCACATGGCACCCAATCCAAGGCCATGTGCCCTCAGCGTACTCTCCCTGGACCTCTATCCTGACCAGTAGACCAGCCATCACAGGTGATTCCGCTCATCAGGCCATTAAATGTGCAATCTCTGGTTCAGCCACTCTTAGCAGGACACTGATACCGTCATACCACTTCTCCCTAGACTGGTTTTCCTGGGCTGGGTACCCACTCTTCTCTATGCCACCAATTTACAGAACCCAGCATCTTCCCCTGGAACAACTAGTCTGAGGACCTGCAATTTAAGACACCATTCACCTTCCCCTCATACCTATGTCAGGCCAGAATGACACTGGCATGATTCTACCCTAATATGCATTCCTGGCTCACAAGTCTGTGAAAAACCTCCTTGACCTGAATAAAAGATATCACATCTACCAAAGAACCTTGCCTGTCCAGCCAGAATTTGCAAAGCACTGTGAGTCAATCATTAGGGAGACAGGCCCATAATGAACTTCAGCTACAACATGTAAATGGGGTGGAGTTACAGTCACATCAGTAAATATAAGAGTGGTGGGAGAGGCAGAGGTGCCTACTTGCTCTCCCATGCTTTCAGGACCATGGCATTGACAGGTCCCGAGCGGTTCCTTACATCTGCCAGACACCCAGGTCTGTGAAAGTCACCTGTGGGAAAGTAGCTCAGGACAGCATTTTGGGGGAGGGGAGGAAGGGGGACAAAGCTTGCCTTTCATCAGCTGGAAGCATGGCACCACAAGCCCCTAACCAGGGCGTGAAGCTGAGGCACCCTCACAAGTAGATGCTGTGCCTGGCAGAGGTAACACAAGCAAGGGCCAGATGACCAGCTGACCGACAGACAGCTCTGTTAGTTTCCATGGGAAGAGACCACATAAGTTAATTTAGGGTCTGTGTAGAAGCCAGCAGCTAACCCACACCAACTTGCTGTCCAGAGCGTATCAGGTTAATTCTGCTCAGATGGGCTTTTACCATTGGACAGCTAGGTTCAAAGCCAGGGTTGCTCTCAGAGCAGTAAAAAGGGTGAGGTAAATTCTGGGGAAATCATCAAGGGCATTTCTGATTGTTCCTGTCTTTATTACATAGCAAATGGTTACCCCCAATTATGCAACCTGCCTTTCAGCATGTTCCTACGCTTGCAAAAACTGCTGGTTCTTAGGGAAGGTAGCTTGCTGTAGGAGGGGTTGATTTCATGCCTCTCTACTTAAGAAGTCCCAGGAAATTCCAGGAAGTGCCAGGAAACTTTTGTGAACTGGTGTGTATGACCATCTAAGTGCCATATCTAAAGACAGGCCACATTACACTGATAATGACCAGAGAGGTAGAAACCATGACTGCCTACAAGCTTTGAACCAGTGAGGGAGAATCCACCCACAATGCATATTTTAAAGGCACACATAACTTCCATAAATCCTTCTGAAAATCCAAGGCCCCAAACCTACACACCCGTAAGCACATGCTTAACTTTATAGCTTATGAATCACTGGGTTGGAATTGGTGTAACTTGTGTAATATTAAGCATGCACTGAAGTACTAGAGTCTGAGTAAATTACAAATTTACCATTTGGCTGACTGCTAGGGTGGCCACTGATGCATCCCCAGAATATAGGGCATCCCTTTGGTGAGGGGCAGATTCTGGCAGCCAATTAGCAGTGAGGGGTGAGGTTGCCATCTCCTCAGCCAAACAGCAGTGAGGGGTGGGGCCACCAGGCCCTGTCACCAATCTGCAGCAAGGGGCGGGGCCACCACAAAAAGGCCACCTTCCTTCCTGGCTGGGAACCCTGCTCCTCCTGGCTGTGCACCACCTGACTGCTAGGCACAGCCAATAGAATCACACAGACAAGTGATTGACATGTATTTCCACCAATTAACTGAAAAACAGGACTTTTTGCAGTCTGGTCCTCATTGAGAAATGGATAGGGGACAAAGGGGTTAAAAAGAGGGTAGTCCAGTATAAAACAATACCAATAGCCACCCTATTGACTGCTCAGGTTAGTCAGACCATCTCTCAGTCAGTCAGACCATCTCTGGAGTGCATAATGACAACATCTGGTTTTCAAGAGAGAGAACTGCCCAAGACACTTGAAGATGCCAAGGACAGCAAAACAGGATGCAGAAGGAACAAGTTTTGAAAGTCTCAACCCCAGGACTGAGGAAGGAAGGACTTGAGTCGTGAAGCTTTTTATTTTTTCCTGGATTTCCTGTCAGTTCCTCTGGGAACTATGTCCTTTCTGAAAGGATGGGCGGGGTGGAAAATCCCTTCACCGAAGAAAGGATCACATTTTGGTGATGGGGGTGGAAATGATATAGGCTGTCCTAAAAGGTCAACTGGAGGTAGAGGGGAAGCAATCATTCTGCCCTGTCAGAGATCTTCTAGGGGTGGTGGTGAGGTGGAAATAGAGACCATTTGTTTCTGGGTGAAAGACAGGAAATGCATACAACAAATCAGGCAAAGCAGATGCTGGAAACAGCATTGAAGGAGGACTGTAAGCTATACCCTAAAGTCAAAGGGAAGGTGGAAGGTGTTAAGGCTGGAACCTTTCATGCTGCTTAGAGCAG